ACAGTTTTCTGCTGGGATGCCCTCTCCAAAGCGTTGTTCAAAGTCTTCAAGGCTTCATAGATCTCTAAAGAGCTGAAGAGGAACTGCATTTCTAGCATGAACAGCATCACGTAAGCTGCTTCGTAGCAGGAGTACAGTGACGTCACGATAACTGAAAGAAGTCTTATTATTTTTAGACCATAAGATTAGGCAAGATGGTTCACAATATGGTGGCAACATGTAAAATGCGCGAAAGCTAAGGTATGATAAAATTAAGGCAAAAGCTGTGGGCATAAGATCTAATGTCATTTACATGGGACATGTCCATGTTTTCCCAATAAATCTAAACTTTATGTCTTTATTTTAAGGTTTAAAATCTTACTTACTGTCTTTTCCTGTCTCTATAGCCTTTATAAAGATTCTCCTATAATCCAGAATGATCGTGGTAGTAGCAAAAACTAGAAATGATACTAATATAGAGCAGTTCTTCTTCTCACAGCATTTGAATTCCTTGTCTTGGTCTGTGATAATTTCCTTTTTGATCTGTAACAAAAAAGGCCTTATCATAATAGTATTGATCCTAATCGAGTTCTTGACTGAAGACTGCATCTCAACAAACTACGATGGAATGATGGAAGGGGAGCCCTTCACGATGGACCGACGATATCAAGATATCTGACTGTCGCAGTGCAGTGACAGAAATCGTATAAAACGGGAGACATGCTTATTGCCATTCTTTGGGAGAATTTTCGATTCGATTCCTAGGATATTCGATTCCTAGGATAGGTGCACTGAATAGCAAAATATTGTACATCTTGTATTTAATTATTTATTTTTTTGTTTTAGGCAGAAATTGGAAGTCTTTAGTTAAGGCGGCTAACAAGCCTGACTAAGGTGGTGACGTCAGAAATATTACATCCAAAAAATACCTTCTGAACTCTATTCAGGCACTGAAGTAGTTCCGTCATCCTAGAGTACCCATTGTAAGCCCCCACACTGGCTATCAACATCACGAAGCAGTAGTCTACTGCCCATAGTATCTTCTCTGATGATTTTGAGACTCGCACCGTGTCCTTCAGGTCTGTTGCCAGGTCCTTCACCGTGGCGTATATGCCGAGTATATCTGAAATTAAATTAAATTGAATTAAAAAAAAATATTATCAGACCGGGGTCCATAATTGTGTTAATAACAAGTTTCATTTAGCCTATGTTAGTAAGATACAAAATAATGATTATAAATGTGGGAGGAAGCCGCTTACATAGCACTAGGGACGTGCAAGCTGAGCCAACGCCCCAGTAGCGGCGAGTTCCACCTGTCAGCCAATGCCCTCAGGGTGCCATTTGTACTGCCGCGGAGCGATGCGCTGCAAAACCGCGGCAGGCCAAGTAGCACCCTGAACGCATTGTAAGGTTTTTTTTAATCCACAACGAGCTCTTGGCCTACCACTTACCTGATGGAAAGTGATGATCAGACCGCAGGTGAAAGCCGGGATCCTCAACCACAGAGGAACTGGCTATCTTGTCTCTAACTGCCGTTTGTTAATTGTTGTTATAATGACACCCTTGGGTAAGATGGTGGTATTTGGCCAGGCAGACTTAGTAGAACCAAACCGAGCGGAAAATTTTGCCCCTACTGGGAATCGAACTCGGGACCTCTGGGTCTGAGTCAGCTGGTCTTACCAATAGGCCATGGTAGCACGGACACAGATAATGTCAGATGATGATTGTGTGCGTGAATTTTCTTAGTGTTCCATGGATTCACGGCGTAAAACGATAATTACTTTGAAAAAAATGCATTCAAATGGTAAATGTGATAATTAAAAATTGCCAGATATATTTGGCGGATAAATTTATTTATTATTCCCATGAATAACTCCTATTGGTTTGGTACTAGGTACATACACAATCTTTACCTTGAATGCCGTATTTTCTAAAATATAAGAAGAAGTCCTACTTACTCAGCACAGTCATCACAATACAGTGTACAGCGTGCACTCCCCGTGACACACTGGCGCAGCGCCCGTCGAACCGCACCGGCGCTACCCCAACCAGTTGTGACACACGGAACATCCATTTCAGCGAGCCAGACACGTGGCACTCTGCTGACTCGGACCACTTTTGAGGTTGCATATCCTTTCCGATTTTCATATCTAATTAGGTAATCATAGAATCTGTACACTTTTACCCCCTTACTAATAAAAAGTTACTGTTTTAAAATGACAGTTCCACACAAAACGTCACTTTTAAACATTGTTCAACGAGCTTGTAAGTTTTATTAGAAAGGGGGTTAATAAGTAAGTACATAAACTGTTTTTTTTAATATCTATAATCGATTTATGAATATTGTCTGCATTTTACGGCTAAAAATGTTTACTCTTTCAACTTTAAAGGCTTATTAAGAGCTCTTATAATAAATCATTTCTTAATTATACAAAAATATTTAGGCCCTTAATTTATCGTACTGTAAATCATTTTTTTTAAAGATCATTAGCAATTTGTATTACACAAATTACTAATAGTCCCGTTAGCCTCGTGTTAAGCTACATAAGTTTGTGTTACGAATGGGCTCACCACAATAGTCGAGCGGCGGTGGGATTCGAACCCGCGTTCCTCGGATTTCGAGTCGGCCATTCCGACCCCTTCACCGTTCGGCTACCGTGGCTATAAAAATCAATACATACCTATTTTCTAAACTTCCTACTTAAAACAATGGTTTCCGTATTGACATAATGTCAGAAAACAAATATTACACGGTCTGATCATTAATCTTACTAGAGTAATTAAACTAACATGACAAAACAAACAACTGATTACTTTAATTCTGAAGCAACAAAAAACGACCAAGAAAAATACCTAAACTTTTGTTTTTATAAGAGTTATGCCCGTTTTCACCATCAATCCCTAATTTTAAGTGACCGCTATGAAAAAAAAATTCGTGTTATGTGTTACCGGGCATTATTTATGTAGGTATGTTGGTCCTGAAATCTATACAGTGTGAGTCTTGATAAAGTGCACAAACATATGAAAATAGGTGAAACAAGACCTATTTTTATCGATGGTTAACATGTCAATAAATATCTGAGATTTTTTTTTTATAATTTTGCAGTAACTAAAAGTGCTAGGAGTCTCAAATTTTTAGAACGTAGGTGCTCACTATGACGGGATTTTGTAAAATTGAACTTCTAAGGGGGTAAAACGGGATCCACGCGTACGAAGTCGCATGTGGCCGCTAGTGTGGTATAAAAATAAATTCGTATTATTGTATGTACTTACCCAATAAAGCACTCAATAGGTAAACTTGCTCGTCACACAATCGACGCGACACAAAACTTATTATAAAATTCAGCTATTGGCCTTTAATCCATTTGCTATAGTAATTTATGCTGTCATCATTTAGGTAATGTAAGTAAGTACTTATTGAGTGGTTACTTATTGTGACTGCATTATACGTAAGTTTTAAGAGTTACAATATTTTAATGTTGGATTATTCGGTGGAATGCATAGGACAAATTCCATATAAAATATACTACAAATAATTAAAGAAATGTGTGTTTGTTACTCCATTTTCGACATATTATTTTGGCAAATAAGAGATAGATTAGCCCGAAGAGGAAATACATATTGCAACTTTTTGCCACTAATAAAATTAAGACCTAAAAAAGAGGATGTAAGAAATATAGTATTAAACTAGCGGCCGCCCGCGACTTCGTACGCGTGGATCCCGTTTTACCCCCTTCATCTATCTTACGCGGTTTAGATTTTTTCATACAAGTATTTTTTCCCGCTTACTCCCGTTCCCGTGGGAATTTTGCAATATCCTGTTGTAACTAAGCTTTACGTTTACTAAGGTACCTGCATGCTAAATTTCAAGCGTCTAACTTAAGCGGTTTAGATTTTTCATACATTTTCCCGCTAATTCCCGTTCCCGTGGGAATTCTTAAGTATACTATAACCTGCCCAGGAGTATGAAGAATAATTGTACCAAGTTTCGTTAAAATCCGTCAAGTAGTTTTTGTTTCTATAAGGAACATACAGACAGACAGACAGACAGACAGACAAAAATTTTACAGATTGCATTTTTGGCATCTGTATCGATCACTAATCACCCCCTGATAGTTATTTTAAAAATATATTTCATGTACAGAATTGACCTCTCTAAAGATTTATTATAAGTGTGGGATTGTGAGATTGTTATTGAAAATAATGGTTTTATTCGTTCTTCATTTTATTAAAATCGTCTTACAAAATCGTATAGATGACCCACGCTGAACTGTCCCACCAAACTCAATGACAGGGGGGCGCTACCATCGTTCAACTATATGGTTTCCAACATGGCAAAAATCGGAACCAGCGATCCGGTATTGACGGTGGCGCCCCACTGTCAATGTCATGCATAGGACAGTTCAGTATTTTGGAACTATACATCTTTTCACAGACAGCTAACGTCATCTCCCAAATCTGACATCTCACCATAAACTTAATTAAAAATAAAAACTAAACCAAACTCCTTATTCCACATAAGTATAGATGTAAATAAATGTAAGTGACAATACTGATCAATTATCTAGTTATAAACGCCGTTCATGTTTATTAACTGCCTTTCATATTGTCAAAGCTTATTAATTGTCTCTAGGTTTACTTTGCTTTGTTAGGACAAGCACAACCATAACCAAACGTACATACCTACTTACTTTCTTATTACAGTTTTAGCTACAGGAGCAGAAGCACTAAAAAGTTGTGGTTTTTATAATTGTCTAATGCAAAAAGAATACATTGGACCGCAAAGAAAAAGAGCCGGTTAGAAAATCTTCTACATTGTCTTCAAAAGTACCTGACCTAGCTTTGAAACAAATAAAGCTGGAAAAACTACGCAATTTTATTTATTTTTTTATTCATTTTCTAACCGACCTTTTTTATTTGAGGTCCAGTGTAATAAAATTAATGTTAAAGAAAACCGTTTCAAAATAAGTCGCGTACAAAGGTGTAACAACTGTATGAAAAAAAAAATCTTTAATATGAAGATGAAAACAAACCATCAAGCTTTTACTGAATCAAACAATAAAAATAAAAGTGGTAAGTTGTTATTTTGCATAAAACTATAACTAATTTGTCAAATAAATTCCCTATTCCACAAAACTACACTGGACCGCAAAAAAAGAGTAAAAAATTATCAATTTCTAAGTACTTACCTGACCTGGCTTTATGAAATACCTAATATAAGATGCTTATGGATTAATTAAAAGTTCTTTTTTTAATTTTTCAGTAAATAAAAAACCAAAGGTGTCACAAAAAAGCATTCCAAATGAAGTAGAATGCTCGATGTCGGGTTCGCTGGCGTTAGCGTTCCGTATGTCACAAATAGTTGGGATTGCTCCTGTCAAGTTCGAAAGGCAGCGCGACGGCTCCCGCGTCAGTGTGTCACGAGCCATGATCGTGTGGTGCTTATTTTACGTTACTATGTGGAGTAAGTGATATTGATACTATGTCAAAGTTTATGAGACAATGAAGTAGTCCTAATGACAAGTAGCCCAAGTGAGAAGTAGCCCTAATCAGAAAAAGTCAGAACGAGAAGAAGCTAGTCCAAGAAGTCCTAATGCGCCTAAAGCTCAACCTTCACTGGTTGGTTTTTATTGGATGAATGCTATGGACCCGTAGTTTCAGTTATGGATACGGTTACGGATATAGAAATATTATTATACTGGTCTCGGTTCCGGTTACGGATATTTTTTTATTTCGAAAATTTCGGTTACGGTTACGGATATCCATAACATAACATCCCTGCTGTAGATCCTGATTATGCAGGAGTAGCAGTGGTGGGATAAGTCCCGTATCATGTCGAAGTGTGATGAGCCATAATTCATAATTAATTTTAGAGGTGATGGGACATTACCCCTGGCTTTATGTCAATGAACTGCTCGTAAGCAGATGGAACAATTTTGAAGAACAGAGATTAGGTACCTTATCATCAATGAGATTCCAGGATTATTAAAACGTTCAGACAGGCCAAGGTCTGGTAGAATCCGCTTTTAAATTCTTACTGGCCTAACATCTAATGCTTAACATTAGATCAGGTACTCAAATCAGGCGAGGCTAAATATAGTCAAAATAGTCACCCATTTATGGCGTATGTTGTTGGTCATTATCAGTAAAGCGCTGACAAGTTGCTACAGGGTGCAGGCACCTCTTTCACAGCATGCAAAATACCTCTTAAGTCAAAGTCAAAATTTCTTTATTTGTTTAGACTAATAAATAGTTCTTACAAATCGTCATTTTGCTCTTAAGGAGCCTCTACATGTCTCATAATCTTTTTACCCTACCAGCGCTTCGAGACCAACATTTGGCAAGTGTTGAGAAGAAGCGCCGCAACAAACTCAGACACCACTGTCTGCCGGTTAATATAAATAAATAGAAAAAGCAGTAGTAGGTACATTTGATTCAGGAGCAGTTCACTGAATTTACCACGCATTTCTGTATGGTGTATCTTCTAAGAATGGGTATACAAAATTGCGTGGTATATTAAACAAGGTAGTAACGTGCCAATGTCTAGACTTACAGATTAAGATACTTAAATACTAGTAGAAATGACTCGCATTAATAAATTTGAATAACTTGGATTGACCAGTCCCCGAAAGCAGCGCCTGTTCACAGACATGACGAGTGCACCAGCCATCGCTTCACTCGACCATATTAGAGGGAATGTAACGACCCGCCTGAGGATACTACATTCTTAGAACTGAGGGTACTACTCGTACATTCTGCACCTTTCAGATTTGTCAGCATTCATCGGTTTAGTCAGAGACTTGATGGTGCCTCGCGAGTATTCAGTGCGAGCGACCTCTACCACGCAACGGTTCGTGTGGGTCATCGATTTCACCATCGTGATGACCATCGCCTGTCTGGCAGGGTACAGGGCACCCAAGAGATCCAGAGCACTCATACGGTGCTTGAACCAGATACAAAAGGTGTTGGCCACTTTTCATTGATAATTATCATCATGTGTGGATATAGGCACGTTCTTTCCGTGGATGTCATAATATACACATAATATGTTAAGATTTTTGAAGTTTGTCAAAGTTAAAGTCTTACTTTAACCAAAATGCACCGGATGTTAATGTTACGGTTAAAATAAGGTGGTGAAACTCAGCCTTGGACTTTATTATTTTTGCAGATAAACCACAATTTGAATATCGGTCGACCTAAAAAGAGTGAGGAACGCAAGAAATGTGCAGTCCTGTTATTCTTCGTTGTTTCCTCAATATCCATTTTTATGCTGGACTTTAATTTTGTCACACGATCATCCTTGGCGAACCATAAAATAGGTTTGTAAAGTATGATTCAGGAATATTTCTTAGCTCTTCTAACAATATTGTAAAAGTAACTCTTCGAACGCTTTTCGAATTCTTTTGCGAGAATTTTGCACGAACACCGCGCGATAAAATCTAGTTAATTCTTACCGAAACTATAATTAATTTAATATCACGTTTTTGAAATAATAATTTGGAACGAATTTATTCTCGCCACAAAAAGTTACGTTACATGAGTTGCTATTATCATTATTCCACAATTCAATTTGATTCGGTGGTTTAAACTGTTACAGACAGGAAGTAACTCGCACATTTATAAATATTTGTACTTATGTACAGTTTAATCGTCGAATCCAACTCGGATGGGCAGGGTTCGGGAAGCTTCGCCATATACTCACGTCCGAAATACCGCAGTGTCTCAAGTCGAAAGCATTTGACCTATGTGTGTTGCCAGTGATGGTATACGGATCTGAGACGTGGTCGCTTACTATGGGCCTCAGAAGAAGGCTCAAGGTCACCCAAAGGGCGATCGAGCGGGCTATGCTCGGAGTTTCCCTGCGTGATCGAATCAGAAATGAGGAGATCCGCAGGAGAACCAAAGTAACCGACATAGGTCGCAGAATTGCTAAAATCAAGTGGCAGTGGACGGGGCACATAGCTCGCAGAGCTGATGATCGCAGAAAAGTTCTCGAATGGCGACCACGGGCCGGAAGACGTATTGTCAGCAGCCCCCCACTAGGTGTAGGTACGATTTGGTGAAGGTCACGGGAGGTGTCTGGATGCTGGCGCAGGACCTGTCGTTCTGGAATTCCTTGGAAGAGGCCTTTGTCCAGCAGTGGACCTCATTTGGCTGAACCGAACGAACAATAAATACCTTTTCATTATTTCCAGTCGATGCCATATACCTTTACGCGGGCTACTACTACGCGTACATTATCCTGCTCATTCTTGTAACGCAATTCATAATATGCGTCTTAGAAATATACAGGACTATGAAGTCTTTGAACGATATTTTGGAAGGCGTGTCTCAGGTAAATATTTCAGAACTTAATTTATTTATTTGCAAGTTGTTTTCGTGCTAGAAGATTGTTGTATTTAGATCAATTGCTTAAATCTTGTTTATTCTTCTTTTTTTGATTAATTGTTCTTATACTGTAACCAAACTTTCTTGAAACACTTCAGACTTTCAAACGCCCGTAACATGGACCTATAAAAAAAGGCGGACGGAACTCGCGCTACAACAAAACTGTGACGCAAAATTTTGGCGTTTGTCTATTGTGTGAGTAAATTTAGGGATGCCATGTTAGCCAAATCATTTTACCCATTTATTTTAAGAAAAACATAGATCGGCAGATGTTACTTGGAAATGTAGACAGAATTATTCCAAGCCATTTTAAAAGGATGAAAGGGGAATGCGTTGAGGTAGGCGCGAAATTTTCAATGTTCAAATTTTCTTACATTGTTTGCAAGTCAGTGTGTCAGGGTATGTACATAATGTTGATCAAAAATGATTCACGCAGTTACAAATTACGAATCTTGTGTACATTATAATCATAATCTTATGCATCATCAATATATTATTATTATCTCTGATAGATTTTTTTTAACATACAACCTGACACTGACTTGCAATCAATGTAAGAAAATTTGAATTTCGCAGTTCCACATTTTTGGGAAGGATCAAATTTGCCTATGAAAATATATCCCATTAAAACACAATTATTATGATAAATTATTTTATTTCCATAGTATGCGTAATATATAACTAAAAAGTCCTAAAATGCTTATTAATTTCCCATATTTCGGGTAATTTTCCCACGTAAATAACTGAGAACACTGGTCTTTGACGTATTATTTTTTCGAGTGAATGACGTTTGATTTCAATTAATTTCAATATTTTAATGTCGGGAAATAAGTGATTGGATTATTATTTTGCTTGTTCTTAATTTTTGTTTGTTCGAACAGAACGGTTTTTACACAATTTCGTCACACAAGACATGTCGTATTCGTGTTGTTTTTTCGCTGCTTAAATGTGTCAACTGTGTGAAGTTTGCACTCGAAGTGGTGTATCAGGGTGTGAATGTGTGCGTGCCGGCCTATACGTACAGGCAAGCTGGTGTATCCTAATGTCACAGTATTTTGTTGATGAGAATCCGTCCGACTTTTTTTATAGGTCCATGGCCCGTAATCACAAACATTGCTAAGAGGTCTCACAGTGCGCGTGGATGCACAAGGTGACATACAATACAAACCAATCAGCTCTATTCAACGCTGTGCGTTCAATTTGCTGCTTAACTTAAGCTTAAAACGATGCTTCGTTTTGTGAATACAGCGGTTCGACTTTAGACACTCAAAAAGCTCAAATAGTGGTCCAAACATTGTCAGTGCCTGAGGTCTAGGAGCGGCACGGAAATGTTTTTGTGACAATCAAACGTCAGCAAAATTTCAGATCTCCTTGTATGCTCTGTGACGTCATAAAATGTCAATGTCATCCTTCCCGTTCCGCTTCCATGCCTCAAGCACTAAATCAGTGGGTGATCTAGACAAAGTGTAAATTATAATCGCAAACCAGTCGAAAAGTGGTCGAAAAGCCCCTTTTTTGTATGGAGATTCGATCAAAAAGTGCGTTTTGTCTAAGGGGGCAGGCATAGAAGACCCACGCTGAACTGTCCCACCAAACTCAATGACAGGGGGGCGCTACCATCGTTCAACTATATGGTTTCCAACATGGCAAAAATCGGAACCAGCGATTCGGTATTGACGGTGGCGCCCCACTGTCAATGTCATCGATAGGACAGTTCACTATTTTGGAACTATATTTTGTAACTATAAGCGCTAGGCTGACTGTCAAAAAACATTCCTCCTATGTTCTTCTGATTATATAGCCTGACCAGGAACATAAAAACCCTGCCATAGAGGCGCGTCAATTGCATTTGATAGTGCAACACTGAGTACAGTCGTACCTGTGTTAAATTAATAGGCTAACTTTATGTATCGGGATTCAGGATTACGGGCTAATTTGATATTTTCATAAATTAACGAAAAAATATTATTATCGGTAACCTGGTTTAAATAAATTAAATGAGACCCTCAATCTAGCTAGTAGGACTTATTTTGTTATTCATCAATAATCAAATTCAGAACTTGAATCTTCAACTGCAATGTCTGCTCATGAACGCTTCAAACTCGGTACTTCTTTCCCAATTCCATAAAATTCAACACTTACGAAGTGACAAAAAACTTTAAAATAGGTAGTTGAAATAAACCACAGCTTATTTTCATAGTGGACTGTACTATACGATAAACATGTCAGTCAATTTGACAACCTTTGTCGGAAACATTATTCAATGAAAATAATGTCCGAACCCTTAGTATTTTTCTTCGACAAATACTTTAACACATTGTGAACCACTTTTCTTTCACGACTATAAAAAGATTTTAACAATTTAATTCACAAAATCAATTGCGCACATTTAAAATAAAGTTTGTTTACACTTTGACAGCAATAGACTGACATGCAAGGTGACATGTCAATGAAGTTTTCAGTTACTGTTGCCATTAAAAGAAATTAGTACCATTAGTTTTCCGTAACATGGCGAGGGTTTTTATGTTCTGGTCAGGCTATAATTTCGTTACGGGTCCAATGACAGTTTAACTTTCCCCCGGGACAAACTTGACCTTCACTGGTTGGGTTGCTATTGGCGGTCAAGCTGTAGATCGCAGCTACACAGGAGTTGCAGTGGTGGGAACGAGAGGTGGAAATAGTCCCGTGTCAAAAAAACACCTAGGTATAATCCAGTGGTAGCTTTAAATCTGCTTGCTAAAGTTTGAATCGAGTTTCATTTCAGAATACGAACCTAAATCTAAGGTATGTTGTTTTCCAGATACACAAATACTACCAACCTTACAACGAGGTGTTCGTTGTGCCCAATAAGTCGGTCAACCAGGTCATTGACTCGCTGGCAGCAGTTAGTGACAACGTATATCTAGGTAAATACTCGAAACTCTTACCAATTAGTTACTAGACTAAGTATCATAGATTACTAATAAGTTCTATAGTCTGGTCGCCGAGCACGTAGAATTTCATCCAATGACCCCAAGCTACAACATCATTATCGCTCGCGCGTAATTATTATTATTACAAGCTTTTTATTACTTTCACATGTCTGGTGTCTGTCGTCAAATCTTGCAACTTAAAATTGACCCACTTCCCGGTTTCCTATTGAGCTGAAATTTTGCATACATGTGTAAGTCCGATGACAATGCAATATTATGGTACCATTGAGCTGGTCTGATGATGGAGTCGGGAGGTGGCCATAGGAACTCCTAAACAAAACGGCGGAAACTCATCGAGTTTGGGTTCGTTGGATTTGTCTTTTCGAGCACTTTAGTGTTAGATAACATGACAAAAGGGTCCTGAGATTAAGATATAACTAAAAAGTGTAAAATAAAATTATAATAAAAATAAACTTTTTTAAAAACAAGCTTTTATTCTGAATTTCGAAAGCTTGTAGCGCAAACAGAGAAAAAGAGGAATAAATTCCATGCGCGATACAAACTTTCGAAATTCAGAATAAAAGCTTGTTTTTAAAAAAGTTTATTTTTATTATAATTTTTATGTATATTGCTGTCGCGACTGTGCGACGGGCGCCCGCAGTGAGTGTGCGAGCGCGACAGCAACATAATTACGTGCGAGCGATAAGGATGGGTACGAGTAGCTTGGAGTCATTGGACAAAATTCTACGTGCTCAGAGACCGGGCTTTAGTACGAGACTTCAACCGAATGCACCTACCTACATAAGTAGTCTACATTTTGAACTACTCCTTTTTCGTTTGTTCGTTCGTTGCTGCCGTCCTGCCAGCATAGGCCCGGTCATTGTGGAAATCATTGAGGGAGGCCTTTGTCCAACAGTGGACGTCATTTGGCTGAACTCCTATTTGCTTTTGATTAATTTCGTTGCAGTCCCCTGAACAACCTTCACTGTTTGAGTATTATTGTCGGTCAATTTCGTTGCAGTCCCCTGAACAACCTTCACTGTTTGAGTAATTATTATTGTCGGTCAAACTGCAAATTTCAGCTACGAAGAAGTTGCAGTAAAAAACTCAAGAGACAGAGAAAAGCAGAGCAAAAGCTCTTTGAACAAAAATTTACTGTTTCTAAGGGCCGATTCATTAGCTCACACAAATTCATTCTTTCTTCTTTCTTTTCAGCCAAATGACGTCCACTGCTGGACAAAGGCCTCCCCCAAGGTTTTCCACAATGAACGGTCCTGCGCTGCACGCATCCAGACACAAATTCATAAATTGTTCTTTTTTTATCCTTGAGACCCTTCCTCATTTTTTTTCCAGATGCAAAAAGTGCTCCAAAGACGCTCCCCGAGACCATTCGCCTTCTCGCTCTGATGTACGGCAGCGCGTGCGACGCAGTGGAACAGCTGAACTGCTGCTTCGCTCCAGAACTCCTGGCGCTGGTGGCGTCCTTCCTCCTGCATCTGGTGGTGACGCCGTATAATTTCATCGATAATATTAGTACGTGTGTATTTTTTAGGGTTCCGTAGTCCTGACAAGGAACCCTTATAGTTTCGATATATCTGTCTGTCCGAGGTTTTGCTTGTTCTAATTAGATATCGCCATCATCACCGTCAGGTTGGTCTCCATGAGCACGGCCCTTTCAAATTTATCAGAGAAAAATAGAGAATCGGAACTACACTTACTTTTATCGGATTTTTATACACTACTTGGATATAGCAGTCATCATAAATGTAGCAGGGAAGCGCTGGACGCAGGCCGCTACCAATCAATTAACATGGAAAGCATTGAGGGAGGCCTATGTTCAGCAGTGGACGTGCTATGGCTGAAATGATGATGATGATGACTTGGATATAGACAGTGTAGACTACTAGAATAGTTTTTGTTGTATTAATTAGGTAGGTAGATTTATAATATTAGACGAACCGATAAAACGAAAAAACCGGCAGACAGTGGTGACTGAGTTTGTTGCGGCGCTTCTTCTCAGCCCTTGCCAAATGTTGGTCTCGAAGCGCTGGTAGGGTAAAAAGATTATGAGACATGTAGAGGCTCCTTAAGAGCATAATGACGATTTGTAAGAACTACCTATTTATAAGTCTAAACAAATAAAGAAATTTTGACTTTGACTTTGACTAAGATTGATTGAATCGATAAACAGAAATAGCTGGATCAATGGCGTGTATTTTGGTGGCCTATGTGCAATAATTTGGCCATCAGCTAATGATGACAATGTCTCAAAGACCTTTATTCCTAACATTTGTGATACTCTTGAAGGTTCTATCTATTTTAAAACTGGTTTTCTCAACAGCTGGAGGCGCTGTCAACTACGGCCTGCTGGTGATGCAAACGTTGTGGTGCATCATTCACTTCTCCTGCACCGTTGGTTTGGCAGAGCCCTGCCACATTACGCAGATAGAGGTATAATATGTATAATAATGACTTAAGTATTTACTTTATTATTTAGTTATTATCAATTTGTAGAATGATTAGAAGTTTCTATAAAACACGCTATAATTATGTCTGTAGGCCTATTATTTTATAAACAACGCAAAAATCTTTCATCAATATAGTACCTAATGTATACTTTTATATTTTATGATTCTAACTATTGCATGGGTTATAGTGTAGGTACATTTAATTCCCGTTGAATTATGTTATTTTAAAATAAATTTTTAATTCTTGGAACCTCGTGTTTGATTGATTGATATCCGTGACGCACCTACGCCGCTATTATAAAAATACCTACATGTTTCTTAAAATTTATCTTACACTCTATAACAGAATATATATACTCATATATTATTCCACTAGCGGCCGCCCGCGACTTCGTACGCGTGGATCCCGTTTTACCCCCTTAGGAGTTGAATTATGCAAAATCCCGTCTTAATGATTACCTACGTTCTAAAAGGAACCCCCATGCAAAATTTGAAACTCTTAGCACTTGTGGTTTCTGAGATTTCGTAATGAGTGTGTCGGTCAATCAGTGACCTTTCGCTTTTATAGATACCTAGTTATACAAGATTATTGCAAAATTAGTCATTTGTGTCATCATCATCAGGTCATCATTATTTTAGTCTCTACTGTAGAAGGATGACAATATTTTTTAATTTTCTAAAGGACAAAATGGAAGTTTTGCCGTGCAGTAACCACGCTACACACTACAATTTAAGAATTTCTATAAGAGCCATAGGGTAGCTACACTGTCTTCTAGAGTTTTGGCCTTACGTATTCACAAACGATGCTTGCTTATGTGAAGCAGCAAATAGAACGCAGAGCGTAGAATAGAGCTCTGTGACTGGTTTGTGTGTGACACTGTGCATCACGCGCACTGTGAGACCTCATAGTAATGTTTGTGAATACGGACGTAATTAAAGTGGAAAGGCAATGAATTTTCAATATTTATGTTGTGCGCTATAAAGTTAACAAATAAAAATATTCTAGATAAAGCGCACCAACCGTCTGGTCAGCTACCTCATGTTGCAGAGCACCGACGAGCTGGTCAAGCCCGAGCTGGATAACTTCGGCAAATTCCTGTACCTGAACAACACCGAGTATTCTCCGATGGGCATCTGTGTCCTCACCAGATCTCTCGTAGCTTCGGTAAGCTTCATCGGCACTTGATTTACTTGAAATTGAACTGGTTGGGTTTTATTGTCAAACTGTAGATTAATTAGAGAGGGAGTAATTTTAATGGTTCTCCATATAAGCTTCATGAGTTATGTTTTTTTTCTCCGAGTGAAATAGTCCCGCTCTGATGAATTCCTTATTTTTAAACAATAACAAGATTACATGTTAGTTTCAGGGCGTAAAAATAAAGGAAAGATAAACCCAAATTAAGAAGATTTTTTGAAATTACATTCTTGGCGCTCAACTTGTAGCATTAAAAATGTTCTTTATTTACAAGTTTTAAAAGAAAATATTTTATCTTGTTACAGATCATCGGCAGTGTCGCCACTTACCTTGTTATTATAATTCAATTTCAAGAATCTGACATCATCTAGGATCTAGTATAATATCTACGACTTCAGAAATTGAAAATTACTGCTAGGCTTAGATAGATACAGAAAATTGTGGAAAGTTATTTCAGGAAAATACTCTATTTTCTTAAATAATTAGGTACTTTAATTTGAGGGCATTATATTAATGCTCTAAGACTAGGCGCAGACCATCGATTTTAAATAGTATGAAGAATCGGCCAAATAAAATCGGTGTAATGTGCGCACTTCCATACATGCCCATACTGATCAACTGCCCGACTAAACTATCGGCCGACGAAAAATCGATGGTCTGCGCCTAGGCTAAGTAGTACTTTACGAAACTGAGCCAACTTCTCCTTTCTCCTTTTCCTGCTTTTGATGGGGTTTACTCTTTGTCGTTTGATCATCTAAAGTACTTATCAAAACATTGTCTGTACTTGCTTCTTTTTCCTCATTTTCATTAACTATACCATCAATGTTATGCATCCTTTTCAGAAAAACATCAGGAATATCTTCATTTGTTTTTGCTTCAGGGTTTAGGTTTACTTCATCTTCTAAGTTTTTTAAGATTTTATCGTCTTCAGAAACAGCAAGGATTACGTCCACAATTTCCAGTAGTTCTTCGTCGTGTTTTCCTTTACCGTCTAGTTCTTCGGTATCAAGATTCCTCTTGAAATTGTCATTGGTTATTATGATCGTATCTACAGAGATAATGTTGATGTTTGATAGTTCACTTCGTCCGAAATAAAAGCTGTTTGGAATCGGGCATCCGTGGAGTCTAGGCAAAATGGCAGCTAATATAAATATGGCCGACATATCGTAGCTTTTCTGGGAGTAATGCTAGAATTGCATTGTTGGAATGTAAATACTAGTCACACGGGAAATAAAAGTATGAATATTTATGAATTAGTAGATAAGATACGAGTAACGTAGTTAAAGAACCAACTCATAAGTTTTTTGCTTGTGAATTCTGAAGATTATTTTTTGTCCAACGCATGTACGAGTATACTTTTGTAGAGCAAAGTTTAAATTATTCACAAACGCATATTATGCCTTTTTCGCCTGTAGTCACAAACATTATTATGAGATCTCACAGTGCGCGTGGACGCACAGGGTCACACACGAACCAATCACAGAGCTATTCAACGCTATGCGTTCGATTTGCTGCTTCACTTAAGCAAGCATCGTTTGTGAATACGGGTGTTTATGTAGTTTATAAGTATGTACCTAATTTATAAGTACCTATGTAATAAAAAATGATTGTAGTGGATTTGAAATGTGTTTGATTTTTATGATTCCTATCTATTATTATTATTCGGGCCTGTTGACTTGTCTATAGAGTGCCTGACAGTCTATTATGATGTATGTATGTCTGACAAATTAACACTGAGTTGCACCACCTAACTTTGACCGTAACTATAACGATAACCGGTGTTTTATGAATGGAGTTTGACAGATTTTTGACGTTTGTCAAAGATAAAATAAGATGGTGCAACCCAAAATCTAAGGCCCAGTTTTTTGATTCATAGTTAAAATAACAAATTGTAAAATTTTGCTACTAATGGTTAAATATTAACAAAATGTTAACTAATAGTTAAAAAATGTACTGAAAGTCAAGCTAACCATTGTTCGAAAAACATATTTTTCAGATATTTAACCACTTGTCATTTGACATCTGTCAAATTTGACCATTGGTTATTTTAACTACGAATCAAAAAACCGGGCCTAAGTCTCACTGGTTAACCAGCAACTTTTAACTTTTGAGTTTTCTTTTTTTTATGCATAACAAGGCAGGTATTTGACCACAATCGCAACTGATGTTAAGTGGGATGCAGTCTAGGATGGTGCATATCTGCCCAGTAAGTGCCTATTCACTCTTGCCTTGAAAAGGCCCGGATTATAGTTTTCGGGAAAGACAGCAGCAGGCAACGAATTCCAGTCCATAGCTGTTCGCATTATAAAAGTTAGCTCGTTATCTATGAAATCGAAAGGCCACTGAGTTTCTCACTCATCACGAAATCTCAGAAACTACAAGTGCTATAGGAGTCTCAAATTTTGCATGGGGGTTGCTTTTTGACGCGATTTTGCAAAATTCAACTCCTAAGGGGGTAAAACGGGGTTCACGCGCACGAAGTCGCGGGCGGCCGCTAGTGTCAGATAAATAACGTTGAATTTTGTTGGGGGACCGTTGAAACTGGACTTAGTTAATTACATTATACGAGTACTATGAGAATATTCACCTAATTCAATTAAGCTGCAGGTGTCATTGCTCAATAGGAAAATCAGCACAATTAAAATGCAAAAATCTGGTCCAACGAATTTTTAACTTTGATTTCAGTAATAAAAAATGAATGTAAATGATTTTCACAAAGACATTAGAAAAATAGGTGGGACATGTCTGTTTTGTTTGCATTTCAAATACAATGTAGTAAAATAAATAGATCTATTGATAATACCAACTTCATGTTATTTCACGTACTAGCCTACTGCTAACCTAACACTGTCGTACAAACCGCTAGTGGTGACCGAGAGCGCATCGAATCGCTACGTGATTTCTGTTGCCCTGGTACTTTCATTTCAAAATCAGTTCAAAATATGGTTCAAATTTAACTATAATGTAAACAGACTTAAGTTAAATATGTTATTAGTGTGTGTGTTTTACAAAAATGGACATTGAATTTTAACTGAACACATGGGTATGTATTTTTTGCATGTTTATTTACAATAGTGACAGTTTCTTGCACTGTTTCTTTTTAGCACTGGATCGTTCGTTCGTTAAATATTGAAAGGGTCAATATTAAAAATATCTGTTAGGACGTATGATATATGTTTTAAGGTTAAATGAATGAAATAAAACGAATGGTATGTATGGTACGTATTCAGGATAGTAACTAAAATTATAAGGTTACAAATTAATATAATATAATAATTATTATAATTAGGTATGTTTGTCTCGATGCACTAATAAGCTTAAAAAAATATGGGGACGTGAAAAAGCTCTTACGTTATAATAATAATAAATTATGTCACATGTTGATTGAAAAAATAATTTGAATTTTTCATGAACTCATATTACTTTTAGGTAAGGCTTTCTAAGTTTTATATCTTTTATGGTTTAGAGATCTCTTACAAAGAGAAAAGATAAGTAAAGATTGGAAAATAATGTGAACCAATACCTACTTTATCATTAAACTCATTCATCAAGATGCACACTTACAAATACAACTTAGTACATCTGGTTCATCAAATTATTTACTTAGGCACTTTCCAAAATGCATTTTAGATTTCCAAAATAAGCAGTGCAAGTCAGTAAATAAGTAGTATTTTTTGCCACTAGACTTTTTAATTAATTTTTAAACTTTAAAGTTATAACATTTAGGCTCGGTTGCACCATGTTACTTTAACTTTGACAAACGTCAAAAATCTGTCAAACTCCATACAAAAAGCACCGGTTATCGTCATAGTTACCGTTAAAATTAGGTGGTGCAACTCAGCCTTAAAGTTATAAACTAACCGGATTAACCCTATCACTGTGAAATGGACCCTATGAAACAGTGGTCTGTTTCAGCACAATTCAAAGCTGCTAAGAAAAAGCCTCGGAATAAGCTCATCATCAATAACTAACCCCATATTTTAGCTTTATCGGGACCTAATGCGATATTAAGATAGTGCAAACATATTAACCTATGATAGTATGATGGGCATATCGCACTAAATATGTTTACATCGCCTATTTTCATACGGGACCCCCAATATTGCTGATGGCCCCCCTGCCAAATGTTATCAACTACTTAACGTACACCTGTTTGCATTTGCTATGACGTTAGAAGACAATTGAGCTAATATACGGTATGCCCACTCGGTGGTGTGGGTTCCATTAATGTGTATTTATAAATCTGTCCTCGGTGACTTATTTTTATGCACGTGAAATACTCTTGGAGCACTCGGTCGATCGCCAACTGGATAGACGCCATCACGAAGGCCACTGAGTCCACCATGGTCCAGTGTACTCGCGACGCCTCTAACCGTCAGAAATGGAAGCACATCGCCAGGAGAGCTACCCTCGGAGATGACATCACCCCAACATGTACCTCGTCAGCGCAACCACGACCACTCTGACAAGAGTGCCCGAGAAAGAAGAAGAAGAAAATACTCTACGTTTTTCTGTCGTCTGGTTGATTTTCTACGTGGGTAGGCCTCCCACTAAGTGGACTGACTAAGGTCGCGGGAAGTACCTGGATGCGGGCAGCGCAGGACCGGTCTTTGGAAAATCCTTGGGGGTGGCCTTTGTCCAGCAGTGGACGTCATTCAGCTGAAACGAACGAACGAATAAAAAGGTGATGAAAGTTTGGCAAATATTATATCTCCAAGAACGGTTACTCGATAGGATCGCAACTCAGCGATTTGTTGTCGTTGAAGTTTTGTTACGTGAATAAGGCTACAGGTCGAGTTAACTGCGCACTTGGCGGCCTTGACGTCACATCGCTGTAGTGCGAACGCGGTGAACACAGAGAGATGTGCGGGAGTGCGAGAGAGAGTCGCATTCCCGCGAGGTGCGCAGTTAAGTTAACTGAGTTGTAGTTTTCGTTTACATGCATATAATAATAATAATAAAGGATTTATTTCTTTCTTTCACAATCCAATAATACAGTGAAACACAAATTGCTATGTACTAATTGAACAGGGTAAGATTGTGAGAGAACTGGAGTCTGAACTAGGCGAGAAGCCTGTATTCTCCTCTCTTGATAATAGCCGGAGCACATAGAATTTATTAAAGTCATTTTAGAAACTAGACAAAAAAACTAGACGAAAAACTAGACGAGTATTGAAAGAGAGTGTGTATAAGGTGAAGTGTAATGTAGGAACGAGCCTGCTTAAACTACATGCACTGTGGTTACAGTTACTAATGTTTATGACTTCGTACTATTATCACTACCGCAATGCCTTGATATCTATGTTATTGCTCTAAGTACAGCAATAACAAATCGTTCAACATGACTATATTAGTAAGTTGTTTGTGGAAT